GGCATTTTCGCCGAGGCGCTCAGAGCAACCTTGTTCCCTAAAGAACTCCGCCCCGACACCCACATTCCTCTGGTGACCCCCTCTTTTTTGGAGATCACACCTCTAGGGGGGTGGAAACCGAAGCAGATCCCCCCCGACGCGCGCGGCTCCGAACGGAAAACGTTGTGTTTAGCCACTTGCCTTCCTCATTTTCGCGTTCTTGCTTGCTGCTCTCAGCCAGCCTCCGAGCTCGCTCCTCTTCCTCTTGCTGCTTCTGCTGGATTCTCAAGTACAGCGCTCTCTGTGCCGACGGCATGAAATCGGGGATGCTGCCCGGCGGCTTCGGCAAGCCGGGCGGGCCCCCTTCGCACAAGGCGTCGTGATCCAAGGACGGATCCGGGAACATGTGCTCTCCTGGAGGCACCTCCATGTCCTCGTAACCGCCGTAGTCTTCTGCCGAGGAAAGATCGTCGCGTGTTAAAATGAGAATCACCGAACCCGCCGTAGTCTTCTGCCGAGGAAAGATCGTCGCGTGTTAAAATGAGAATCGCAAAATTGTGAGAAACAACCTGATTTTTCCCACCCCCCTCTCAGCCCGCCGCAGTGCCCGGGCATCCCGGGAACAAGCTGTCCCCGAGCCGGCACGTCCGGCAAAGCACCCAAGCGCCGAGCCCGGCAGATCCTCGGGACGCACCTGGGTCTCCCATCATGCCGTGATCCATCTCCAGACCTTCCTGCTGCTGGTAAAAATTGTCGTAGAAGGCTGGCGCCGGCGGGACGGGCGGCATCATGCCGGAGTGGGGGGAATCATCCGGTCCGTAGGGCATCATGGGGGGGCCGGGACCCATGGGAGGGCCGGGGTTCATTCCCGGGCCCATCGGCATGTCGGGGTGCATGTCCGGGTGCATGTCCGGGTGCATGTCGGGGTGCATGTCCGGGTGCATGTCGGGATGCATGTCAGGGTGCATGTCGGGGTGCATGTCGGGGTGCATGGGGCCAGGCATCGGTCCTGGCGGTCCCCCTGGCCCGGGGAACCTGGGGGGAGGAGGACCTGGGTGCCTGGAAGAGAACAAAATCCGCGTTAGGGCGCG